TACAATAGCGACGATTATTATTTTAAAAAATTTTTGTTAGGCTTAACATCGATGAAAATTCAACGCAAAATAGGTTAATAGCGATATACTAATATACTAATTACATGGGATATAATAATATACTACACTAATAATGGATTTTTTCATACTTTTCGGTTATCCGACTTTTCAATTATCCGACCAACCCCAGTCCCCAATTAGGGCGGATAATCGAGGTTCTACTGTATATTTATTTTGTTTGTACAAAATAAAAAAATAATTTTTAATGATACAATAGTCTTTGTTAGGCTTAACATCAACGAAAATTCAACGCGAAGCGACATGCAACGGAGAAAAATTTCAACATCGGATACGTTAAACTATTTTTTCGTACATAAATCGGTTATCCGAAATATCAGTTATACGAACAACCCCAGTCCCTAATTCATTCGGAAAATCGACGCTCTACTGTATTTCATAAAAATATATTATTATATTTAATTTACAGTGTGTTATTGTAAAATTGAAAATAAAATAAAATTATATTTTATTTTTTAGGAGAAATGTCTTGCCTTATAGGCTTATATTATTTAAGATGGAAAGAAAGAAAAACTAGAATTCAAGAGTATGTAAGTAAATTATTGAAATTTACTTTGATAAATTAATATTAATAATAATAATTAGAGAACATATTGCAGAATTATAGCATTTATTGAGGAGAAAATTTATTTTCCTGAATAAATACTATACACTGGTACCTCGGTATACGTCTGCTTTAGAATATGTCCTGTTTGGATGAAACAAATTTTGCTTGGTATATGACTTAATTCAATTATACGCGCCATCTATGAACAAGTAGCACTATCGGTGTACTACACCAGACTAGACGTTCACAGTGCCATGGTTTATAACTTTGTTAAATTTCTTCTGATTTTAATTTGTAAGTAAAATTTTATTATTTTTATTAATCATAATTGCAAAAAGGCAAATGAAAAGCAACAGAAAACTAAAAAATGACTAGAATCAAAATGGAACTGAAAAAAAGAGATTGTTGAGAAATATGAAGGTGGCATGCGTATTCAAGATTTAACTGTTGCATACCATATTCCGAGAACAACAATATTGACAATCAGGAAAAATAAAGACATTATTAAATCTGCTAACGTTGTGAAAGGGGTTAAATCAATTTCTAAACAGAGATCAAAGACATTAGATCATGTTGAGAAATTGCTTTTGCTTTGGATAACTGAAAAACAGTGTGCTGGCGACAGCATATCAGAAGCAATTATTTGCGAGAAAGCTAAAATGATACTTGCTGATCTCATGAAAAATCAAGCAGGAACTAGCCAGGAAAGCGAGGTGTTTAAAGCCAGCCATTTTTTTTACATGAGAATGGATTAATCATTTTTAATTACTTCTTATGGGAAAGGTTGGTTTGGTATAAGTCCAAACACCAGGAACAGATTAAGGTCATATACTGAGGTTTCACTGTATTTTAATTTCTTATATAATAAGAACAATCATAAAATCTACAGTGTTGGTATCATACTATACAATAATTGCATTAGCATTTATATAAAGACTGTAACAGAAATATTGTTTTATATGTCATTTAAGTTTAGTAGATTACTTTTACAATTAAATATAAGATTTTAAGTAGAATTCAGTTTATCTACTGGATTGAAAAGTGAAATCACACTATTTCATTAATATGTAGTTACTAACCCAGTATTATTAAATGCTTTTTATCATATTTTTGAAGGCCTGCAAATGAAAATTATTTTAAGTTCAATGTTTTAATAAATTTATTTTATATTTTTTAAATTTATCTTTGTTTTTCCTTTAGCTTTTTTAAAATTTATTATTTTATAATTTTTGTTTATTTAATTCACTTTATTTAAAAATTTTCTTAGTAAATTTTTATTTTATTGAAATACTTCCAGCATAACAGATTAATGGTGACTCCAGGTTCTTCACTTCCTTCAGCAAAAGCAGTTGTTATTAATCAAGAACAGTAAGATCAGATATAGTTTATGAAGATAAATTAAAACTTGTTACTAAACTAAAAAATATAACTATTTGAACATTTTAGTAAAACCATAATACGAAAATCTTGTTTATATATAACAATAGATACTTTAGAAATCTAACATTAGTTTATCAATGTATATATGTAATTACTTAAAATTTGCACATTATAAATATATGAAGGTTTCATTTTTCTGAATTTTGTAAATAGTGAATTAAATGTGAAATCCTCATCTTATACAAGTGTTAGTATTTGCTGATATTGATACTGTGAAGGAATGCACATTGGTTCAACTGCAACTTTAAAATATTTTTTTAGTCTACAATTGTACATTTACACAATTGTACATCAAGAACATTGTCATACAGATAAAGTAGTTTATATTTGAAATACAATGTTACTTTTTAACATTTAAAATGTTTTTGTTGATATTTTTATGTATACAGTAAACCAATTATGTATGACCTAATTGGTTTCTAGAGAACTCATTAAGCAAATTTTTCTTAAACTCTGATTCCTCATGCATTCAGTAGTCCAAATTGAAGTTTAAGTTGTTTTGAAGAATAGAACTATGTAATACCACATTGACAAATCTCAAAAAACAAAAAAAAAAGGCATAAATTTTAATATAAAATTTGCAAAACTCATAAAACAGTGATTCACTATATATTCAGATGTATTATACAATATTGTAAATATAGATATTGTTATAATAATAATAATAATAATAATAATGGTAAAATACTTAATACAAAAATTTATTAATGAATTATTCAATTATTTAATATTTAATAAAAATTTGTTGTTTTAATATGAATGATATATCATTCTTCTAATATCTGTTGTTTATCTATCTGCACTTCTGATGGAACTTATCTAAAAGTCATCTGTGACTTTTTGATAAAATATTTTCTTCTTGATGTTAAGGATAAAGGAGAAATGAATCATTTAATCAGAAAAGTTGATGAAAGAACAGAATTTCTAATTTAGCTTAATAACTAAACTAAAGAATGACAGAAAACTTAGTTACAACATTGTGTGTGGTGAAATGGACTTCTGTCATGATGATTGACCAATCAGGTGATACCATGGCATAACTTTAAAAAGATACTGTTTGAATAGAGGAATGCTTCTGTTCTAGAAAGTGCAAGCTTTATTTTTGCTTGTGTTTTGTGAATTTCTTTATTTGGCAATTAAAAGTTTAGTTAGTTTTTATTTTACTACAGTAATTTTATTTCATAAACTTTGTTATTGGTTGTAAGAGTTTTTTACTAATTTTACTGTGACTCTCTAACTATATATAAACATACATTTATAGAAAGAAGCAAAAGATTTTTTTAAACAAGATAGCCACTTAGATCAAAAATGAATACCATTTATAATGAATTTTGTTTGCTTGCAAAAATTTAGAAAAACAAACTAACTTTGAAGAATTAGGAAAAATGTTTTTGCACTTAAGTGAATCTATTAAATTTATTTTTTATTAACTTTAATAGACAAGTTTAAATAAATAAAAAATAATAATAAAGATTTACATAATCTTTTTGTTGATGAAAATTATATTTTACATATAATTATTTTTAATAATTGGCTATTTTTCATTTGAATACCAATCAATATCAAAGAAAAAATTGTTGTATAATAATAAAACACAAGAGCTTTTTTTGTAATTCTAGAACAAAAAGTTAAAATTTTGAAAAAGATAATTTAAAATTGAATTCAAAGTTTAAACCTTATTCTATTATTTAGTTATGAAACATTCTTAACCTACATTATAAAATTTTGACATTGTATTAACATAATTAAAATTAAAATATTGACTTTACATTTACATCAGTAATTATTGATTAAAATAAAAATATATAGTTACCATGTATTTTTACTTTTAAGTTAGAGTATATTCACAAAATCCCAATATTATTTCATTTTTTCTTTTCTTCATTTATAAAATTGTTCTGATTTCACATATATATGTTTGAGCTGGGACTTCTGTGCTTGCTTAATGAAAACTGTTATGAAATTTGTTAAATGATCAGTTATTACTACATTTTCAGTTTAAAATATGTACATTATCTGTTACTTAAGCATACAATATTTGTCATGTAAATGTAACTCAAGATATTAGTTTACATATACAATTATTTGAAATATTTTAAGATTTTCTATATCATAATGATCATATATATTGTTAATCACATATTCTATATACAGGTAACCCCCATATAACACGGCACTTCTACAGCATAGATTCACTCTAACACGGTTCGAGAATTGGTACCATCCCCTGTATAACATGGTACTTTTATAACACGGATTTACTCTGACACGGTTCGAGAATTGGTAAAACCNGCATCATTTAATGAATGAATGTTGGAAAAATTTATATCCTGAAGCAGTTTATTCATTTGAAAAGTTAAATGTTTAACAATTTCTGTATAAATCTGAAACTCTTGCTAGAGGTGCAGGATTCAATGATGTTGAAGAATTACTCAATTCTCATAGTTTGTCATTAACAAATGAGGAGTTAGCAGAGTTAGATAAGCATACAATTGAAGAAATCAAAGACAATGATGTGGACTTGGATAAAATTCCCAATGAAAATGGGCTGTCATTGATGGTTTTGTGTGATGCATTTATGAAGTGTGACAAAATCGTTATTTTCTTAAAAGTGATCCAGTTTATGAATGGAGAGAAAAATTTTAATGCAGGATGAAAGACTTATTATCTTGTTATAAAATAATAATAAATGAAAAAATTGACTGCAGGAAACAGTGTCTTTAGATTTATTTTTTGCATATCAAAACTCAGCAGTAAGTGAAAGTGATGAAACACAATCAGGCCCTTCTAAAATTCAGTTATAAATAATATTTATAAATCATTTCTGATATTCAATTATATTACTAATAAATATTTTACATATGTATAAATAGGGATGATAAAGATTTCTTTTGTGTTTTTCATTTGATTTTACTTTCTTGAAGACCCAATTAAACCTTTTATATGATTTTTTTTATGAATTTATGATATCACTTTAAGTGAATCTACATAAAGTGGTAACTGTTTGGTCATAGTTAGCCATGTCAAATGAGGATCGCCTGTATATCTGACCACTTTCAGCTTAGAATGATGTGAAACATGAAACCACTATAAATTTTATTATCATTCTAAGCTGTTAAATAAGTTGTAAACTGAAGATGATCAAATATTTTCCAAAAATGTTTTTCTTTTAATAAAAATGTTGGCTAGTATGTGATAATAAGTAGTGATTTAATTTAAGTTTTTTGAACTTATAATAAACTTTAAAATATATATATTTTATAATTAATATAGTGTACATTATTTTTTTATATAAATAGGTATTGGACTGCTATATGTTGATGCATCTATTTGGCAGATGCTACGTGGATCACTTGTTATATTTACAGGCTTGCTGTCCGTAAGATATAACTAATTTATATTTTTCATTTGTTAATGTTGGAATTAAATTTTTAACATACTTCCATGTTGATTTAAAGGAAGAAATTACCTTCAAAATAACATATTCTATCTCTAAGTTATTGTAAGATCTGTGTGTAAGATTATATGTTTAAGTAAAGTTAATAATTTTTTTGTTTTTAATTAATCACAAATTAAAATATAAATATAAAAAATATTTCTTTCTAGTTTAAAATATAAATTTTGGCATATAAGACCTGTAGTAGTTAAATCAAATTTATTTCTCCTTTCTGAGCATATAGCTGTTGCAATTAATGAGAATTAATAAATTTTTAAAAGTCTACCAGTATATAACTGAGTTTTCCATAAAAGTGAATTTAAAAATAAATTTTAAATATACAGTCAACCCTGCCTATGACAGAACCTGTATATAGTAAAAACCTGTCATTAACGGAAAATTTAATATATAAACGGCTTGCTGTATGGTATATTACAAATGTAAATCAGTCTCTGTAATCCAAAAAACATACTTTGGTATCTCACAGCAATTTCTGGTTAGCAAATTATTTTTTATTTTCCATTGAACTACAAATATATTTTGGGTTGATATAAATTGGAGCATTGGATGGAGCATGATATGAATTACCTAAGATGTTTTCTTAGAGAGGAATATACACCAAATACCATGAAACTGAAAAAATCTATAAGGAACATTATATCAAAACATGCTATCTGGAAAATAGAACGTAAGATAATAAAATCTGTTATTAGATTTAAATATAAGAAATGGAATAATTTAAAATATCAAATACAAAAATTAGTATATAGATTTAATTATAAAGAAAACCCATATAAAGGTATAGCCAATGAGTATAATTATAAGAAAGAAGTCAAATTACAGAAATTATTTTCATACCCAACAAAAAAAGAGAAGAAAAAATGGATTAATGATCTAATTTTAAATAATTCTAAGACTCCAATACCATGTCATGTAAAATATATATTAGCATTGGGTTTAGATTACAATTTGCCGGTAGTAGATATTACAACAGATATGATAGCGAATATTGTTAAAAATATAAAAGATTTAACAATTAAAAAAGAAGATAAAAGTAATTTAATTAGTAGCATAATCCAAAATTTAAAGAAATGTATTAGTCAGAAAGATAAACATAAAATTAGAAAATACAAAAATAATATAAAATATATTATAAGTTTTTTTAAAAGAAATAATCTTAAGATAATAAAAGCAAATAAGACTAAACAATTAGTAATTATAGATAATGAAAACCTAATTGATAAAACCTTTGAACAAATTAATAATGATATTTATATTAAATTAGATAATAACCCATATGAGGGTATAAAAAACAATTAACCAAATTGGTTTAAAAAAGTTATATAAATAATAATATAAGCAATATAGAAAAAAATCATATTCTTGACTTCAAAAATAATAGAATCCCTACCCTTAATATTAGATTAAAAACTCATAAAGAAGAACAAAAATTTAGACCCATCGTAGATTTCAAATTCTCCATTCATTACAATTTAGAACATCACATAAAACAACAATTAAAATTTTTAGAAAATTCTGTCTATAGTATTAAAAATGCTGATACTGTTATTAATAGAATATAAAAATTAAAAAAGATAATTCTGATAAATTATGAGTTTAGACATAAAAAATATGTATCCCAGTATAAATTGGAAATTAATAGAAAAAAGTTTAANGAAAATTCTGTCTATAGTATTAAAAATGCTGATACTGTTATTAATAGAATATAAAAATTAAAAAAGATAATTCTGATAAATTATGAGTTTAGACATAAAAAATATGTATCCCAGTATAAATTGGAAATTAATAGAAAAAAGTTTAAGTGAACGTAATGTACATAATAATTTGATAAACTTAATACAATTTGCATATAATAATAATTATTTTGAAGTTAACAAAGTGTTTTATAGACAGATAGATGGTATCAGCATGGGATCAAAGATGGGGCCAAAATTAGCTGAATTAGTTATGATTGATATTGACAAAAAAATAAGTGAAATACATGGCATAAAACTAATAATGAGATATGTGGATGATTATTTGATCGTATATAATAGTAATTTAACTAATAAAGAAACTATTCATAATTTTATAAATAATATAAATAAGGATATTCAGTTTGATATTGAAGAAGAAGTAAATAAAAAAAAATTAATTACCTCGATATAACTATATTAAATAACCCTGATAAATTTGATTTTATAACATATAAAAAATCTTATAATGTTAATAAACTATAAATTATCATTCTTATATCCCAGATTATATGAAAAGAATCTTATCTTATGGAATTAAAAAATATGTATACATGAATAACTGATGATCATAATAAAAATATTAAACTTAAAGATTTAGAAATAAAATTTATAATGAATGATTACCCAAAGTTTATTTTTACTAAATGGAAAACATGTTACTTAAAAAACAGATATAATACGAAGTTTAAAAATGAAGAAACATATAAAAGATTTCCATATATTAAAAATATTTTTGATTATTGTAGTAATAGCCTTAAAAATTATAACATTTGTTTGGCCCCATCTTTGACCAATAAAATTTCACAGAATATACATAGATATATTAATAAAAGTAGTATTAATAATATAGATTGTGTAAAAAAAGCTGGTGTTGTATATGGGTTGGAATATGATTGTCAGAATCCATATATGTACATAGGTGAAACAGGATGCATGTTAGATGTTAGAATAAAAGAACATGAAACAGCCATCAGATTGAAGTACAATAATTCTCCATGGTATGATCATACAAATAACAATACAGTCGACCCCCCCTATAATTATGGTCCGTATAATTACGATTCCTATAAAACTGTGAAAAAATTGTGACTGTATCCGTAAAAAAAAGCTAAAAAAACCTCCTATAATTACGTAAAACGTCATCGGGCAGCCGAACTACTTTCCCGCCGTCCGTAGCGCCACGCTACGGAGAGATTTCTATCGTCTGGACAGTATTATATAAATTATATATAAATTAGGTACTGTACATATAATTATATATTAATTATATATAAATTAGGTACTGTATATATAATTATATATTAACTTATTGTAACTTTGTTATAATTAAATATATAATTTCCGCCGTCTAGCGTGGCGCCACGCTACGGAGATTTTACGCTAACTATCGTCTGTACAGTATGTAAATTAGGTACCGTAAGTCTAATACAGTACTGTAATTTTATACATTTCTTGTGAAAGAAACATTTCTTATTCAACGGCGATTAAAATTATTTATATTAATGATGTCTCCAAAGTTCAACAAAGTTTTTGCAGAAAAATAAGTTGTTAGAAATCAGCCGCTATTTGCTGAGCTGTTCTGCGACGAAAACACGCTTTAGCAATGGCGATGTCAAATGGTGCACACTCGGTAAGTAATCCTACAATTTTTTGTTTATAGTGTAGTTTATACGGATTATTTCCAAAAAATATATACGTATTTTGGAAATGTTGAGTCGGATTAGTCTAGAATCGATTAATTTTATGGAAGAAAACCTTTCAATCAGCCGTAGTCTGTAAACTTGACACGTGTCGGGCTGTGATTGGAACGACTCGTAAGAAATCGGATTCCTAAAGAATGGAACGTATCTATGATCTTATAAGGGGGTCAACTGTAATTGTAAAATTAACTGTAATACAGTAGAACCTCGAAAACTCGGCCTAATGTGAACCGAAGAGTGGCAGAGTTTCTGAAAATGCCGGGTTATCGGGAATGGGGTTAAAAAAAGGATAAGTATGCGTGTTTCCTCAGAAAATATTGTACTGTACTTGTATGTATTGTTTACTTGAGAATACAACAGAGAATAAACTGCCCAAATACCCTTAAACAAAGGAAAAGTATGTCCTTTATGAAGGCATAGAGCCTTTACTACATGAAAATGAAAATTAATGTGTACAGTAATTTACCTGATAAGACAGACCTCAGAAAAATACTTTATGAGGCATAAAGCTGTCTATAATGAAAATTAATTAACTAAGGATATTTTTTCCCTGTCAGGGTGTGGCCGAGTTATCCGGAGTGCCGAGTTTTCGAGGCTCTACTGTAATATAAAAATTTTGCATTTTGAAAAAGATCCTTATAAAAGAAAGTTTAAAGAGCATTTAGAAATAAGGAAACAAAAAAAATAATTTAATAAATAACTCAGAAGGTATGCAAATTGATTACCGTTGGTATGAATTGATAGATGGCACTAAAACAAGTTAAATGTTATAATTATGTTTAAACATGGTATAATAATTTGTAAANTAATAAAATTTATAAAAAATTTTTTATTAACTTTTTATATTTTATAATTAGAATTGTAATAAATTATGAAAATCTTATTTTTCAGTGTATTTCATTGGATATTTGCCATTCCTACATTCCTAGATTTGATTGGAACTTCTGTTGCAGGTATGTCACAACAAATTTAATTATAAGTACTTTAAAAGAATATTACCTTGTTTTTACATTATATTTATTAAACTTAAGTTTTTTGAGCTATTTAAAATAAAATGCTTGTATTAATACTTAGTCAATGATTTTTCAAGTCATTACTTTATTACAAATGATTATTTGAAAAATTATTTCAAGATAAGGTAAAAATATTCAAGAGAGTTTTAAGAAATAACATTCTTTTTTATTATGCTTTGCTGGAATTGGATCAAAAGATTCGGTATCAGATATTATGTAAATAGATTTAAGTGATGTAGATATTATACTAGTTTACTATTGTATCTTCTGACAATGGGCTTTGTTGCTCAAAAGTTCTAAAGAAATTATTATTCAATATGTATAAGTTCTAATGAACCAGATTGTTTATTTTAAGAAATTGAGGTTATTTTTATTGGTCTCTATACAAAATTGTCAATAAAATAAAAAAATTTAAATAGCATTAATTTTGAATAGAATTTTTGAATATTCTTGACATAAATTAATTTTTTTCAAATGTTTTGCATTTTTTTAAAAATTTGTTTAAGATTGAAATTATTTTAATTATCTGCACTGATTTATTTATAATGTATATGCTACTGTGAATGACTGATACCTGGCGAATGTCAACATTCTCTGCTGAATGTCGGCATTCACACAGTCTTTCATATATGAATGAAATATTTGCTAAATATCATTATTTCTCATTTACACCAGCAAAAAAATATTTTTATTATGTTAAGACAAAAATGCAACTTTTTAATATGTCAAAATGGAAGAAAGCTTATTTATTTACATGTGCTGTAAGTAACAGCACATGTAAATAAACTGTTAAACCTAAAACAAACAGTACATTGTAAATCATTAAAGAAAATAATACAATAATAAACTTACACATAAATTATGTGATTAACGTTATACAATCTTATTTATTGCAACAACATAAACTGTTATGACACTTTGAATTGCACAAGAGTCCCTTGCTTTTACAACTGCATTTATTCGTGGAACATTTCTTTTTTCAATGACAGTGTGTATAGCTGTGCCTTCCACTTTTCAAATTAGCTGCAGCTGCTTCTCTCAGCGATATTTCTTGAAAAGAAATCTCATCTATGAAAAGTAACTTTTCTTTACAAATTATGAACTGATTACAAGTATAAAGCTGCTTGAGGGTACCATTTTTGTTTGCTAATTTATAAAAGTCAGAGTCTTGTATTTCAACAACAACCGGCAACACATTTCGGGCATCAGTACAGCCACAGTCAACATCAGGGACTTGTATTCGTACAGTATCACTAATTTGAGCAGAAGGAAATTTTCTTTTTGAGGTTCATAACATTTTCGTTGCTTGCAGTAGAAGATTCTCTTTCGCGGCCACTCTTTTTGTAGAAATAACTTTGTGTTCTTCAGTCAGGGCTTGATATGAAGATGTGGTGGGTTGCAGCTCCTCTTCAATATTTTCCTTTGGAATATGGTATTTGTTATGGCCACTGATCAAATTTTCTTCAAAAGTATTAACAATTTCTTCGACCTCCATCAAAGCTTATCTGTGCTTGTCAACATACACCGGCGATTGTTTGAAAGTATACTAATATAACCAAATATTCGGTCTTTCACTGGAGAATATCGACATTCTCTAATTTTGGTCTTTCACAGTAACATATATATAACTGAAATTAATTATGCCTGTATTTACTTAAAAAAGAAGGAATTAATTTTAGATAAACATTTCAAATATAATATAGATAAAGAGTATATAGATACTTTAGTTTAAAATAATTATCCACTTTAATAAGAAATGTTGCAATATTAGTCATATTATTTCCATTATTAACAAATTAAACTAATGAATTCTCTTACTTCTTTCTTAATTCATAATGGGTAAACCAAAATAAATCCTTTATATTTTTAATGTCATGCTTCAATAAATTATTTAAATTTGTTACAATCTGATATTATTAAATGAGTGCCAAGTCATTTCTGTTATTCTAAGAATTTCATTGTTTTCGTAATTATTAATGTAATTTTTTTCATTCCCATAAATACTGTATTTACTAAAGAGTTTTTAAATTTAAATATTGTTGTTATAGATGTTATGGACAAAGTGATTAATCGGGCATTATGAATAATGACCAAATAGGGCAGGCAGTGTGATAAATATTGATTAATTTATCAAATTGACCGGTCATTATGAATACTACTATCACCTAGTTGGGCAAAGTGATGATAATAAGTTGAGGAGTGATCATCTGACAATCAGNATTATTATTAAACATGGTATAATATTTGTTTAAAAAAAAAATAAAAAAATAAAAAAAAAAATTTTTCCTAGTAATTCTGATGCTGGTATAATTTTAATAATATTGTTTGTGTATCAAAAATCTTTACATACGTATGTCAATTTTTACTATATTAAACATTTTTACTGCGTCTGTCATATACCCATGTGTAAAAAAATTTAAATGATTGTGTGTATAATGGAACTTTGTTTGTTAGAAGTTACAGTTGTTTTAATTTTTAGATGTATATTAATGCAGAGTGTACAATTTTATGTTTGGATACATATTAAGGATGAAGAAGGTTTGCCCTCCCACCCCCTATTTTGAGCAAAAAACAAAAAAAGAATTTTTTTGTAATTTACATAATGGGAAAATGTAAGTGATTTTCTGATTTGGTTTGTTTTTTATGGTATAATATAGTCATGTTTTAATATTTCTTGTTTATTTGAACTAGCACTGAGGAGGGTTGGAATACATTATACCAACCCAAAATATATTTGTAGTTCAATGGAAAATAAAAAATAATTTGCTAACCAGAAATTGCTGTGAGATACCAAAGTGTGTTTTTTGAATTACAGAGACTGATTTACATTTGTAACGGAAAATTTCTTCAGTTCCTTGATTTTTTTGCAAAAATTAATGTAAATTAACCTATATAGAAATATATAGAAGAACTGTCTAATGCAGAAAAGAAAGGAAAATTGGACCAAATAACAGAAAAATCGGTATCTTTATTCAATTTAACACAAATTTAATAAGAAGTTTACAAGCTTAGCACGTATAAATCATAAAGTCAAAAAGTACACATGCAATACAGAATAGCAAAACATGACTACTGTATTTCAGTAATTTTATTAGGATTTGAATGGAAAGTTTTTGTGTATTCTTATTAACAGCTGTTTATACTTAACATAAATATATGATGTAATTATAAGTTGTGAAATTTAACTCATTATTCCTGATGTGAGACTGTTTTCTTTGTTTTGGACTTTTTGGACTTAAACATTTTTACATCACATTTTGTTTGAATAAAATCAAGTTGAAATGTCTGCAGATAAAAATACACCATTAATTAATAACAAAGAAAGCATATATCAAGCATTTATTAAAAAAATACTAAATCAAGATAAGAATAAAAGTAAAATTTTTNCAATTCTGTTAAAAGCACTGGCACTGAACGTTTCGCTTCATGCAGTCTATTTTGCAATTTTTTTAAAATGATGTCAATCCCGAAAATCCCGGGATTAGGAAAACTTAATCCCGAAAATTTTGGGACTGAAAAGTGGTCGGGATCCCGATTTTCGAGATCCCGGGATCAAATCCTCTATTCCAATCTAGCTTCAATTTGATAATTTTTAAATTGGAATGTTGCACAATAAATGTCATTATTTAATTTATTAAGATATAGAATGTCCTATATTTCTTATGCATTCGTAATTAAGAACAAAGTATTATATATAAATATAGTATAATTATGATAAATATAACATTAACTGATTATAAGGCAATGGTATACATATTTCTACATGCTGTGGTTGATTTGCCTGTCTTGTGATGAAACATTCGTATGTGGATCATTATATAAAAATTGCCATGCAGCAGATAGGGATATGCAGATTTCTTATTTAATAGTATTAAGTCTGTTCATTTGTACTATCAACAAAGCTTGAAATTGGTCCATATTTTTTGCTATATGTCTTTCTTCACTTATAACAACACATACCTCCAAAAACTGGGAGTTCTTATGGGCAGCCCCCTTTCAAGGGACTTGTGAGTTAGTAGGTAGTAAGGGTACTCAAAAACCAAGTGATAAAAAAATTTTTTTTCTGATATCATTTACTCCAGATATGTGGATGATATACTTATATTATAGAGGACTAAACCTAATATACATAACTTTCTGGCAGAATTTAATAATCCTTATGTCCTAATATTACACATGGATTAATACAACAACACTGAGGCTCATATTTTAGATGTAAATATTGCTTACCAGAATGGATCCATTCACACAAAAATTTACTACAAACCAAACTATCACCTGTTTTTTATCCTTTTGCAATCTAATGATCTGTATGCATATAAAATAGCTACTTTCATGGCTTTAGTCAGAAAGGTCTACACACAGATATGAATGTGTGTAGACACATTCATATCTGTGACCATAAAAGAAATTAAACATCAAAAAAATAGCTAGCCCACATGGGTGAGGACTGGACTATACAACCCCACCTCCCAACACCTAAGCTTAGAATAGTTAAGTACAATCTCAGACTAAATTCAATTTGCAAACAAATAGCCAGATAGTCAAATACTTGTATATGCTATCACAAAAACCCTACTGTTTACAAATTATTAAGGAATGGCAAAGATAAAGTAAACAGCAAAAGAGTGCTTACAGTATATTCCATTCCTGTGATAGATGAAAGATTTAACTGACAATTGGTATATATTGGTCCTACAAATAGATCTATAACAAGTAGACTGGTGGAGCATAAACATAATATTGATAGAAATAATCCAGTAAGTACTTTAGCACAATATGTGATGGAGCCTAGAATATCTATAAACCTTAATGAGGCCAAATTATTAATGCACGTTTATGAGGTACACAAACTAGAAATGTTAGAAATATTTAAGGTTACATTAAAAGGAGGATGCATAAATCATAAAGACTGAATCTCTATCTGCTGCACAGCAATCTTTATATGATGATCCACATAAGAATGTTTCATCACAAGATGGACACGTAGAAATATATATCTTTATATAACATTAAATGATTATAAGACAAATAAATATACGTAATTATGATAAATAAAATATTTGATACCTTTTTAATTACGGATGCATAAGAAATATAAGATGTTCTACCTCTTAAAAAGTTAAATAACATCACTTATTGAGTAACATTCCAATTTCAAATGTTACCAAATTGAAGCTAGATTGGAAACCTGTGCAGACTTATGAAATATTATGAAAACATTTGTTCTTAATGTGTTTGCTTAAAATGAAAGGATGGTGTTGGGATTTTCAGTTTAATTACATTATTAAATTATATTCAACAAATTTAGATTATAAATTTTATTTAATTTGATGTTTGAAGCTATGTATAGAAAATAAATTTTCCATAACTATTTTTGGGCAAATTTCTTGTTAGCAAATGTTTAATAATTATCTTGTTAGGTGTATTAAATACTTGGCTCAGATGTCAAGCCAACAGTTAACTCAATCAAAACTTCAGCCTATGAGTCATTAAATAGAATTAAAAGAAATATTTTAATCTTGCAAGCGCTTTCAACATAAATATGTACGGTTAAAATTTTGAATTGCCTGAAGACAACGTACATATTTACGTTGAAAGCGCTTGCAAGATTAAAATATTTCTTTTAATTCTATTTAATGCCTCATAGTCTGAAGTTTTGATTGAGTTTAATAATTAATTATGAGATTTTAACTTTAAAAAGACATGTTAATGAATGTTAATAACAGGAAAAAAAATGCTTTGTCATACAGGGGTCCTTGCTTAATGAATATGCATTATCTGAGTCTCTGTAGTTATGTGGTCAAAAAATTGTGAAACACTGATTAAAAATTCCCCACACTTATGAAGTTCCCTCAGCAGATGGTAACTTCTCTTGCATCACATGATCTATGTACAAATTGATACATAACACCGTACACAAGATGCATTATTGTGCATGCATTTGTCATTTCGGTTCTGGCTGGTTTTTTTGGTTTGTTTTCAGATTTCTGTATAGAAGTTATGTCAATGAAGCATAGCAAAACTGATGATGGAGTTCCTAAAAGAAAACATGCTTCATACAATTGATGTTAAAATAGACATAATTAATCAAAAGAAGAAAGGTGAATGTGTAATTGATATTTCTCATGCCCTGAACATTCCTGAGACTACAGTTCACACAATTGTTAAGGCCTTGGATTTTGAAGCAAAAGTTAAAACTAGACTATGCCGTTCTGAAGTGAAACTAACACAACTGAGAAATGATGTAATGAAGATAATGGAAAAGTATCTAGCAGCATGGATTGAAGTTCTCTATCAACAACATATACCTATATGCTTAGCCCTAATTCAAGAAAAAGCTTTATCTTTGTATGAAGATATTCAAAAGGAGATAGAAGAGGAAGAGGCAGTGAAAACTAAGAATTTTCTGGTATGAAAAGGTTGATTTCATCATTTTCAAAAACGTTATAGATTTAAGAACATTAAGAAAATTCAGGGCAAAATTGCTAGTGCTCATACAGAAGCAACTGGAGTTTTTCCAACTGAATTGAAGAAGATAGTTGATGAAGGATATGAAGTTGAGGAGGATATGATCTGAAACAAATATTCAATGCTGATAAAACTGGATTATATTGGAAACGTATTCCATCATAAAACATATATATCTATAAAACAGGTGTGGCCAAACTTTTATCCTTTAGGGGCTACTTTTTTGGTAAAATATAGTTTGCGGGCGACTATGAATATGGGCAAATAATTTTAGGATTTTTATATGCACATACATTAACATTCATTTGCATTGTTCATCGGGATAAATACAAACAGTATGGGTACGTTGCACAGACAGTCTATTATTGTAAGAATAAATTATCGAATTAAGATTTTTAAACATTAATTTAAGCGAAAGCAAATTGTTCAACTTTAGCTTCATGGGCTACTTTCAAAACCTTTGCGGTCGACCGCGGTCTATGTATTGGCCATTTCTGCTATAAAAGAGCAATCTGCTCCTGGCTTCAAGTCATCAAAAGGTTGAATCACTCTGCTTCTTGGTGAAAATGCAAATGGAGACAAGAAGCTTAAACCCTTGCTAATTTTTCATAGTGAAAATTCTCAAGCTTTAAAAAATTTGGCAAAATCTTTGTTCCTGGTAATTTGGAAGTCACATTGGAAAGCATGGATGACTAGGAAAATATTCTGTGATTGGTTTGTTAATTATTGTGTCTACAACAACAAAATACTTGGAAGAGAAAAATCTTGCATTTAAAATAATTTTACTTTCAGATAATGCCTCTGCTCATTACATTGACTATTAGTTTAACTCCTAATGTAAAAATTTTTTTGCCTCTGAGAACTATAACAGTTTTACAACCCATGGACCAAGCTATGATTGGTGTTTTCAAGATGTATTAGTTAGGTTACATTTTTAAAAAATTATTGCTGAAACAGATGTACCCAATAAAAATAGTGTGCAAAGTTTTTGGAAAGATTTCAATATTTTTCATTGTGTTAAATTTATTGACCAAACTTTGAAGGACATTTTGCATCATTTAATGAATGAATGTTGGAAAAATTTATATCCTGAAGCAGTTTATTCATTTGAAAAGTTAAATGTTTAACAATTTCTGTATAAATCTGAAACTCTTGCTAGAGGTGCAGGATTCAATGATGTTGAAGAATTACTCAATTCTCATAGTTTGTCATTAACAAATGAGGAGTTAGCAGAGTTAGATAAGCATACAATTGAAGAAATCAAAGACAATGATGTGGACTTGGATAAAATTCCCAATGAAAATGGGCTGTCATTGATGGTTTTGTGTGATGCATTTATGAAGTGTGACAAAATCGTTATTTTCTTAAAAGTGATCCAGTTTATGAATGGAGAGAAAAATTTTAATGCAGGATGAAAGACTTATTATCTTGTTATAAAATAATAATAAATGAAAAAATTGACTGCAGGAAACAGTGTCTTTAGATTTATTTTTTGCATATCAAAACTCAGCAGTAAGTGAAAGTGATGAAACACAATCAGGCCCTTCTAAAATTCAGTTATAAATAATATTTATAAATCATTTCTGATATTCAATTATATTACTAATAAATATTTTACATATGTATAAATAGGGATGATAAAGATTTCTTTTGTGTTTTTCATTTGATTTTACTTTCTTGAAGACCCAATTAAACCTTTTATATGATTTTTTTTATGAATTTATGATATCACTTTAAGTGAATCTACATAAAGTGGTAACTGTTTGGTCATAGTTAGCCATGTCAAATGAGGATCGCCTGTATATCTGACCACTTTCAGCTTAGAATGATGTGAAACATGAAACCACTATAAATTTTATTATCATTCTAAGCTGTTAAATAAGTTGTAAACTGAAGATGATCAAATATTTTCCAAAAATGTTTTTCTTTTAATAAAAATGTTGGCTAGTATGTGATAATAAGTAGTGATTTAATTTAAGTTTTTTGAACTTATAATAAACTTTAAAATATATATATTTTATAATTAATATAGTGTACATTATTTTTTTATATAAATAGGTATTGGACTGCTATATGTTGATGCATCTATTTGGCAGATGCTACGTGGATCACTTGTTATATTTACAGGCTTGCTGTCCGTAAGATATAACTAATTTATATTTTTCATTTGTTAATGTTGGAATTAAATTTTTAACATACTTCCATGTTGATTTAAAGGAAGAAATTACCTTCAAAATAACATATTCTATCTCTAAGTTATTGTAAGATCTGTGTGTAAGATTATATGTTTAAGTAAAGTTAATAATTTTTTTGTTTTTAATTAATCACAAATTAAAATATAAATATAAAAAATATTTCTTTCTAGTTTAAAATATAAATTTTGGCATATAAGACCTGTAGTAGTTAAATCAAATTTATTTCTCCTTTCTGAGCATATAGCTGTTGCAATTAATGAGAATTAATAAATTTTTAAAAGTCTACCAGTATATAACTGAGTTTTCCATAAAAGTGAATTTAAAAATAAATTTTAAATATACAGTCAACCCTGCCTATGACAGAACCTGTATATAGTAAAAACCTGTCATTAACGGAAAATTTAATATATAAACGGCTTGCTGTATGGTATATTACAAATGTAAATCAGTCTCTGTAATCCAAAAAACATACTTTGGTATCTCACAGCAATTTCTGGTTAGCAAATTATTTTTTATTTTCCATTGAACTACAAATATATTTTGGGTTGATATAAATTGGAGCATTGGATGGAGCATGATATGAATTACCTAAGATGTTTTCTTAGAGAGGAATATACACCAAATACCATGAAACTGAAAAAATCTATAAGGAACATTATATCAAAACATGCTATCTGGAAAATAGAACGTAAGATAATAAAATCTGTTATTAGATTTAAATATAAGAAATGGAATAATTTAAAATATCAAATACAAAAATTAGTATATAGATTTAATTATAAAGAAAACCCATATAAAGGTATAGCCAATGAGTATAATTATAAGAAAGAAGTCAAATTACAGAAATTATTTTCATACCCAACAAAAAAAGAGAAGAAAAAATGGATTAATGATCTAATTTTAAATAATTCTAAGACTCCAATACCATGTCATGTAAAATATATATTAGCATTGGGTTTAGATTACAATTTGCCGGTAGTAGATATTACAACAGATATGATAGCGAATATTGTTAAAAATATAAAAGATTTAACAATTAAAAAAGAAGATAAAAGTAATTTAATTAGTAGCATAATCCAAAATTTAAAGAAATGTATTAGTCAGAAAGATAAACATAAAATTAGAAAATACAAAAATAATATAAAATATAAGTTTTTTATAATATATATGATTGTGGGTGCCGCAGTGGCGTACCGTGGGGAAGGCGGCAGGGGCGGCCCGCCCCGGGCGGCACTTTTTAGGGGGCGGCAAAATTACCGTTTAGGAGGCGGAAAAATTTCACAATAAATAATATTATCTTGTAAAAATTTGAATCATTTCATTTCATATTTTCGTCGCACCTACGATTCGGAGTGATTGAAATGAGCACGGAATTTTTCATTACTGATTCTGACGAAACTGGGTAATCCCCTTTCTTTAATTAAATGAATGTATAATAATGACATCTTGCTCATTGTAGCGACTGGCAACGCCATTTGTACTGACTTGTAGGGATTCCCCGTGTAGGGCAGAGGGCGCCACCGCTTGACCTTTCCCCTCTGACCTCACTTCGTCCTCGGACGCCGACTAGGAGAGACGCTTTCGTACGCCGATCTTCGGAGTCAACTCCGACAACGAACGCACATTTGTATAATAATTTAACTTAGGCCTTTGTAAATATCCCGTAGTCACGAGAAATAAAATAAGGTATTCCCAAGGAATCAGTGTCCTCATTAATCTTGCCCGACGAAACAAAGGACGTGGAACACGTGATCGAGATCGAAGCTACTATCATACGAGGTAGGATCAAATTCGGGGCACTTGTACAGATTAACGGGTACGGCTATTTGAGAGGTTTACTTCCATAAAATTTACTAAATCTAGACTAATTTCACTCGAATATTTCCAAAACACGTATAATTTGTTGAAATGATCGATATAAAATATGCTATGAACAAAAAATTGTCGGAATACTTATCGAGTGTACCCGTTCGAAGACGCCATTGCTTAAGCTTGTTTTCGTCGCGGAACGGCACATCCTTCGTACGCGTCCGCTTCCAATGTGTCGGTGCTATTCGGTCACGTGACTACTCATCTCTGACGTGTTCCTGATAACTTATTCTTTTTGCGAAGAATTCACTGAACTTTAGAGACATCA